CCTGAACTTAACAGAAGGTCACTGTCCTAGTGAGGTGTGTGATGAAAACCAACCATGATGAAGCGGAATGAGCACAGGACACGGACACACACACACACACACACACACACACACACACACACACTGGCTGCGCAAGGCCTGGGAGCAGGACATCTCCCAAATGCACAGAGGACATTGTGCGGGCTGCTACTGGGAGAAGCCACTCCAGGGTACAATGCCATGTTGCTGTCACATGCAACTCTGCCCTCACCCTCTTCCATACATGATTTCTTTCAACAATTATTTCCTTAGTCCTGTACATGTATGAGTGCTATTTGAGGGGGCAGGAAGGAACCCTTGCTGCCCCAATTTCCTGCACTTTCTAATACTGACATCTCAGATGCCACCTTTTTCAGGACCCACCTGTGAAACCCTGTCCCCCACCAGCTCAGCTGGGCCCCCAGGACACTGTCTCACTACTCTTGAAACTTAATGCCTTCTGGGCTTTTCATCACCAGATTGTGACCTTGTCATGGCCAAGGTCAGCTCACGTCAGTACATAACCCCTCAGTCCACAGCTGTGTCTGGACTGCGGGGGAATTGGCATATTCACATCTCTGAAAACAGAATGGTAAAAATGGAAGTATAGACTGGAGCTGGTGAGCCAGGGCTCTGTTTCTACCGCCATTGTGCAGGACAAAGCATTTCCTCCTGCCTGACCCACATGCAGCCTGCATTCAACTGGTGGCCCCTGTAGCCAAGGCCTGTCCCAGGCTGGTGCCATCTACCACAGCCCTCCCTTAGATCTGCTTCCTACTTAGTTTGATCTTTCTCCATCTTCCCCAACTCAGTACATGGCAACTCTCTACACTCTATGAGCTCGTTCTAGCCACACTTGCCCTTGACTTCTTTCTCTCCTCCCCCGACCCAATTTGCCAGTCCAGCCTTCAGCATCACCTCCAAGACAGCTCCAGACCCTGGCAGTTCCTCACTGCACCACTGCTACCTCCTCCTTCAAACCTGCAGCCACCAATGGCCAGGACAATGGGAAGAGTCTCACTTGCCTCTACCCAGGCCTCCAGGCAGTCTCTTTCCACATGAACCAGAGAGAGCTTAACAGTCCTGGGTCAGGTACGTCACTCTTTAGCCCAAAGTGCTCCTGACCCAGGGTGAGGGTCAGTGTCTGTAGCTTTTGAGTCCAGCCTCCATCTCCTCACCAACTGGTGCTTGCTTCCCTTCTGTCTCTCAGGACACAGGACCCTCAGCTGCTTCCTGGGTGCACCACTCTGGGCCCACCTCAGGACCTCTGTAGTCCGTTCCCTCTTGCTATGGTGCTCTTCTCTATATCTTGTTGTGACTTCATCCCTTCCTTCCTTCCGGTCTCTGCTCATATGTTCTCTTCTCATTGAGCTTCCTGATTCCCTGTACAACCACTCAGATGCCCAGGTGCTCCCTGTCCCTTTCCTTGGCTGCTATTATCGACGTGACTCACCCCCTCCTGACAGTCTATACTTCGTTTGAGATGCCTACCTATTTTATCCAGCTTTTAGGTGAGAATCTCTAGACATTATTCTCCTTCACATCTTTGATTCATCTTCATTATACATTTTGACAGTGATAAGCAAACCTGAAGCCCTTGTACGCTTTATACAGCTATCCCTAAATTTTCTTGGGGGACCTGTTCCAGGATGTTGGAGGGTACCAAACTCTATAGTTGCCTAAATCCCTTTTTCAAAAAACAGCATAGCATTCTCCTATATACTAAATCTCCTCTAGATGACTCATAAGCCCTAATACAACATGTTATGTAGGTAGCAGTACAATATATTTACTTAGAGACTGATGAAAAGAAAACAGTTTGTAAGTATAATTTTTTGGATCTTTCTGGAATTTTATTGTCAAATTCTTTGACTCTTGGTTGAACACTCATATTCTGAATCTGTAGACATGGAAAGCTGAGTATATCTCAGAACATACCTGAGAAAATACTTGATATAAAAGTGGCAAAACAGAACTTGGGTGTGGAGATGAATGTGTTCCAACCTGGTACCCACTTCTGTTCCCCAGGCTGCTTTTGCCTGGCATGCCTAGGGCCTCTGTAGCATCTTGGCCCTGTAGGTGGTCCCTGCAGAACTCCAGTGGCTCACACATGCCAGTTGGACCATATAGGGGTTACACCTGCACCCAGGTCACCCCCTACCAGAGGCCAGTGCAGAAGAGATGGAGCAGGCAGAAGCGACGTGCTAGAAGCAAACAGGAACTGGACACAAGGAAATGCTGGAAGCAATAGAAGTGTCTGGAAACCCCAAGGATGGTGAAGCAACTCCAGTAGGAAGCACAGGGCCTCAGTCACCAGGGATTAAGGAGTACCTGTAAGTTACTCAGGCGAGGAGAAGGCCTTTCTGGGCTGAGGCCTTCCTTCATCTTGCCACACCCTCTCTCCAGTGGGGTTTTATTATCTGGGATGCTCACACTTTCTGAACCCCTCCTGAAGTCCTGGCCTTCCATAGCAGCGTCCAGACCCTGCTGGTGCCACTTCTGGTCCATGATGGTCAGGATCATCCTGCCTCTCAGCTCTGGCCTGGACCACAACATTTCTACTTCTACCTGTCTCTTGCTGTCAGAATGAACTCATGGGGTCCTGACCTGAGCTGGTCACTCTTTAGTGGCAAATGTTTTGGGTCCCAAGTGAAGGTCTAGCCACTGGCAGGCCTCGGGCTCCCCAAGGTCAGCCCCACCACTGCAGTCTACTTCACAGCACACCCCGGCCTCTTCCACTCTTCCCCTGCTAGGAGGATTGGCTGGCTCCTACCCAAAGCAGCTCTTCAGCCACTTCCTCATAGCCTTCCAAGGCTCATCTCCCAGGTACTATAGCATCCCTGTGCATGGCCCTCTAAAGCAATTGTGTTTCAGTCTTTTACTGTTGTCTTCTGTAACCTTTGGAGAAGCAGCGGTCTCATGCCACATGCCTGCTACTCACTGTTTTCAGCTGCTCGGCATTGTATGTTGTGAGAATACATGAGCATGATGGCTCCGGTGTGTCACGTGTCAGCTGAAAGGACCACTTCCACATGGTTCCCCATCAGTGATGCTGCTTCCAGCACCAGGAGAGCCTGGAGGAAAGGCAGCTCCCTCTGGGTGAAGCTGGGATGCCAGCCACCTAAACTGTGAGGCCTAGAGGCCCATGGAAGCATCTGGTACTCAAAGTCACTACGATGTGTGTGGCTGCATGAGTGGGAGAAGTGGGAACTGCTAGTTCCCTGTATTCTGGGAGCCAACACTAGAAAAGACCCCCTGTAAAAGGAGGTAATGGAATATGATGGGTTGAATAGGGATCTTTCCTAGAGAACTCTGCAGTCCTTGATTTACCACAGGCATGGAGGTCCTTAAAGGCAAACAGTCATGGGGCACCATAGAACCAACTTTGGAAAGTACTGGGCCAAACTGGAGGATTTTTGCTGGACAACAAAGGACCCAGAACAAAACATTTGCTTGTTATTCATCAATCACTCTAGAGCAGGCCAATAAACAGAATTGAGTGCTGCTGCTATTCTCAGGAAGAATAGAAGGAAAAAAATGTCTTTATGGAACTAAGAACTTTTATTCAGAGTAAGGATTTTAAAATTAAGATAACTGCCTCATAAATGCAGAGCTAGCGTAATCAGAAAGAGATCAGAAAATTGATTACAAAAATATTTTTGCTACCGATTACAATAACAGGAAGTTACAATCACTGACTATAAAATGTAGCCATGTGTAATCACACAAAAAAGATTAAAATCTTTAGATTATTTGCCCAGGTGGCAAGAAATCAAACCCAAGTGCTACTGTGACCCCAGGGTAGTGCCCGAGATGGCGAGGGGACCCAGCCTCTGCCAATTTCAGCAGTTGCACAAAGGGAAGGAAGGCTCTGAATCTTCAGGCCATGCATCCTTGGGTTGCTCTCTGCTAAGAGACATGAATCAAGTATCTTCAACTTTCCCAAATAGGACTTCAATGTTGGAGTGACAGTAGTGTGACAAAACATTTACTGGGGCTGCACCTGGCTCTTTAGTTTGGCAAGTCTCATGAGGCAGTCATCCCTCCATTGCCTTCTGGCTGCTAAGTGCCCTGGGTCATCCGGGACCTTTCTGCACATAGCCTGGAGAAAGAAAGGAAGGGAAGGGAAGCATTAGAGGAAATAACTTGCCAGGAGTGTACCTGTGGTTCCTACTCATGCCAACTATTTCTACATTGCTTTCAAAGGCCCAAGGAACAGGAAACCCTCAAGTGCACATGCTTTCCAAATGTTAAGAGACTTGGGGAATAAGGTAAGCTTCTGCTCACAGGTCACACTGCTTATAAGGTCAGCTGGTGACCTGCATGTGACTATGGTCAAAGTCAGGAAAAAGCCACCAAAATTGAGGGCCAAGACTCCCCATGCAGACAGAGTCCCATTGGCAAGTGGCAGAGGGGAGACTGACAGCCAGCATGTTCCTCAGCAGTGAGTACACATACCTGGTTAACTTTCTCAACTGTTGCCCCAGAAAACTCTGGAATGGGCCCAAAAGTCTTCAGGACGCGTTTCATCCCTTCACTGTACCTGTCACAGTAGTTCACCATACCTGAAATGGCATGAAAAGAATAATTTATTGCATCTGTGAGGACATGTGTAATCCAAACTGAGACACTGATTCAGAGGGCTTTGCCCCAGATGCGTTATCTCTGGTCTGCTCCAGAGAAAGGGGGGAGATATGTTGCCTACTGGCCTGAAGCAAGAAGGAATTCCATTTAGACACTATTCATTCTTTCTCTAACTTTGGGGCCCTGAAAAGTACCGTGCCCCTTGGTCCTGGGATATTGCCTCCATCCAGGCATTTCATGGACACCTGGCCAGCCTGTGTTCACATACTGTTGCTTTGGGCTAATAATCATGGTGGGGAGTCCATGGTGGAGCTAAGTTGCTTACCTCATGGCAGCCAGGAAGCAAGGGGATACAGGAAGGGGCTGGGGTCCCAACACCCTTTCAAGGGTCACCCTTTAACATTCTTCCGCTAGGCCCCCTCTAAAGCTTTCACTACCTTCTAATACTGTGAGCCAGTGACCAAAGCCCCATATAGACACTTGGAAGACATTCCAATTCCACACCATAGGAGGAGGAAGTGGAAAATAAGCAGTGGCTATGTATGCCCCTTGGGGAGGCAGAACCACCCAGGCCCTCTTAGGAGTCCTGTGAGCGGCAATGCCATATGATTCAGCTTAAGTGCCATATTTAACTTGGGATTAATTTAGGATTCTTCAACTGTGAGGCCCCAGGGAGAAGAGGAGAAGTACCCTAAGCCTACAGGTACCCAGAATGCACAGGCAGAAACTCTTCTTGGGTCACATTTGTGGAGCAGCATCAGACTCCCTAGGAGAACACCCACCAAACAGCACCAGGCTTATACCCACAGGGAGACACATATTCTGGTTCTGTTCAGATCAGGGTCTGAATCCACACCTACAGGAACTCATGTGCCATAAGAGACAGGGATGCACAGAATTTAGGAAATCAGATCAAAAAGGCCTGGAGTCTCAGAGTACCACTATCTAGTCCCTCCCTCTTCAGGATCAAATTCTAAACCTAAGGGAAGATGTGGCCAGGACAGGGAGGCAGAATCAGCAGAGAGGAGCCTTCTCCCGCCACATCCCACTCTGTCTGTGTGGCTTCTCATTCTGACAAATAAATGGCAGCTTCACATAAATGATCCAAACCTACCAGGCCGCAATTAAACAAAAAAGATAAGTGCCTACACATAAGAGTAACAACAGGGCCAGGGAGATAGCTATGCGGCACAAGTGCTGGCCTGGCAAGTGCAAGATTCTCAGTTCAGTTCCCCGTACCAGGAAAAACAAAAGAGTGACAACCTCTTCACCTGGAGGTAAATTTTGAGATACCCTTTCACTGAGAGAAGTGACCTCATCAAAGAGGCATACCAGACAGGTAAACCACATACTAAACGCTGAAATTTCCCTAGTGCATAGCAAGAAAAGCCTTAGTCTGTCTACACTTCTTGCTCCTACACATGTGAATCTTTTGGGAAAAATTTTTAAAAGTAAACAAACATACCAGTTATAAACAAAAACATAGAAGAACAATAAATTAAGGCAAAACTCTATGAGGACATCTATTACGAATGTAATCTATGCCAACAAACCGGCTAACATCACACAAGCCTTAGGAGGTGAGTACTGTTGTCATCCCCATTTTACAGGTGGGCAAACTGAGGTGAATATTGGCCCAAGGTTATACAGCTCATAAAGGGGGAAAGCTGGAACAGGGACCTGGTGGACTGGTTCCAGAGGCCAAAAGGACAATGAAAGCCAAGAACCGGTCCTTCATGGGTAATTCCTTTAAAAAGTGGCCCAAATGGCAGAGTAAGCACACTGCCCTGTTTTTCAAGTACTATTTTATTAGATTAAAAACAAATCCTAAAATATGTGCTATAGTTGTAGATAAATAGCAGCCTCTAGGACTAAAGAGTCCCCTTCACCGGAGAGGCTTGACTATGAAAACAATATCTGCAAAAACAAAAGCTCTCCTCCAATCTTGATATATTCTGGGCGACATTGTGAAGAATAATGGGCATTTCCACTGGTTCCCAGCCAGATCTTATAACTGTCTAACTCTGGGCTCTGGAATGCTCTGAAGTTGAAAACTACATCCGTCCCCTATTATCATATTAAGGCAATTAGGTTTTCTTATCGTATCGGCTTTGTTTGAAAAATTGTTATAGGCCTCCTTCCTGTCTGCCACCCTACTTGATTCTGGTTTCTGGTGTCACTGGTTTCTATTTCTATTTGTTTGAGACTCAAAGTTGTTCTCAGTTCTCTCCCTCTCGATTTCTCATGATACCTCAATTATCTTATTTTTCTCAAGAAAAAAGAAAGAAAAATATGTAGCTATCAGGCAGTGTTTGTACACATTTCAAATGCTTAAATATCTTCACCATTTACGAGATCTGATTGAAAAAAGCTTGAAATTATCCAAGACTATATTAATGATAGTTTTAAAATATCTTGCTTCACTTGCATATGGGCCTCTGGGTTCCTGCAGCCAATGGACACTTTCCTGTAAAGGTGGGGTGTCGGTGGCCAGGGGATTCCTCTCTTTGCCCTTCAGCTACTCTTGGCAACATTCCACTTTAAGGAATGCTCACACCAGCTACATCTCTTCACAAAATCTTATGTGTACCCACCATGTGCAAGAACACGCCCAGTAAACTGCCTTGAGTTGCTCACTGGCAAGTATTTCATTAACTACTGCCGTGAAAATTGACTGGACTATTACCAGTGTCAAGGAATTAAAGAGCTGAAGTCAAACAGACTCCCAGAGGTCCTCACCCCTCTGACACTTTATGGCAGGAGTTTCCTCGCAACACCTAAACACACTCCTCAGCATACCCACTCACAACCTCGGGCATCCCAGACAGGCTCCAGTTAATAGAAAGTTCTTCCTGCATGCACTGAGGAGCCCAAACTCATCTGCCTCCATTTTCAAGTCTTTCATTAATGTTCATGGTTAAATGTAGACCATGGAAATAGACACAATATTCCCTTTATCTTTTTACCTATGTTTTACCAGTAAATGATGTCACCATTCAAGTTACATATAGTAATTGCAGAAATTTATGACAATGCAAAAGGATATTACCTATCATTTTAATACTAAAAGGCAGCTATACATCTAGGTGGCATCTGTCAAGATTTTGATACATAACGTCTTGGATATATTTTAATTTGGTTGGCTTTAATTTATTTTGGTTTTATTGGTTGTTTCACACATGAAGTCTTTTTACATCAGCTGAAGTCTGGCAGATAGAGTTCCACCCTTGTGCTTATGTTATCTGTTAGTTACTTGTGTAGCCTCCCAGGTTTCTGAGCTCAGCTCCAGGATGAATATCAGTGTCCCAGCCCCCCACACCAGCACCAGCTCCCGCTCTGTGGGAGCCCTGGCCCCACAGCCTCCAGGCCTTCTGCAAGGGAGACCTATGGCTGGAGCACGGCACATTTCCAGGCTACTCATGTTTAGCAGCCCTCCAGCAGAGGGCTGAGTTTTCACACCTGTTCCTCTTTTTTCTTACTTCTTGCCTCTAAGTAACCGCATCGCCTTCTCCAGGGAAACAGCACTTTTTCTTCTGCCATGCAGGAGGAAGTGCAGAAGAGTCCCCATCACAGCCTGTCTCCACACAGAGCCCATGGGTCATGGAGGCCTGGTGGGCTTATACCTCAGTGTACAGTGCTTTGTGTCCTGGTCTGTACCTGTGAATTTCCCAAGCTGCTCATTGTCTCTTACAGATGCTGCCATTTTTATTCAGTAGTTAAAATGAGGGGGCAAATTTCAGCTGTTCACAAAATCCAGAAAAATACTCAACAGCATAGGCTCCCAGCCCTACCCGCACACATACCTTCTGCATTGAGGTGCATGGTTTCCAGGGGTCCAATGAACGCATATCGCATGCCTAATCCATCAGACATGACGAGGTCCAGATCATTGGGAGACAGGATTCCTCCCTATGTGGGGAAAGGGGCAGCACACAGATAAGCTCTCTGGAAAGGCGGTTTCTTATGTTCTCTGGAGCAATAGCCCCCAAATACTACTCAAGGCACTAACTAGTGTAATTTGATCAAATTTTGCACAACAAAACCATCATACATACATGGATCCTGAGAACAGAATACTCTGCGAAATGGTCAAATAGTCATCTTTTCCAAATCTGCAGTTGATCTGCACCTGCCTCCTCTGTCTGTCCTCACCTTCCAGCATGTGGCTATTTGGAGCCTCAGAAGTAGAGAGGCCAAAGGGTAAGGGAAGAGTAAGGACAGAGCAGCAGAGAAGGGAGAAGGCTTTCTGGAGGTTGTTCTAGGAAGCAGGGAGCAAGATCTGTGTCATCCAGGGACCTGGAAGGTATTCACAGCTTCACCTATCTGCATGCCTTGCCTTGTTCCACTATTAATGAGTGCGTAAGAAATGCTTAATTCTTTGATGGAATGTAGCTTAAAGCCATGGCTGTGTCTTCCAAGGTGAGGGCCGAGCAGCTTCTGTAAGAAAAAAGAGAAGCTGCTCTGTGCTTAGCTCAGCCTTCCAAGCCAATGTCTGTTTCCTGGCCTGCTCTCAGCTTTGCACAATGGCCTTGGGAAGTAGCAGCAGCAATGCACAAGGAAGGAGGCTCACTCTATCCAAGGACTCTGCTCTTGGCATGTGGGGGATACATGGACAGTCAAGAGGCTGGGAAGGACCTGAAATATTTCCCCCAGGCCTATAGCCTTACAACAGAATCCATTTCTTCTTCCCCAGTGGTTTCTGCCACAGAGAGCACTGCAGGGTTAGTGGAGAGGCCACTAACCACTGGCAGCCCTGGTAGTCCTGGTAGCCACTTGCCACGACCCTGGGGTCTCCTCTGCAGAGGTACAGCCACATCTCATTATCCAGCTCCTAGGGAGGGGCTCAGGTGAGGATCACAAGATACATGATGGGTCAGAGTAGGTCCTCTGCCTCTCCCTGAAGGGCTGTCTAGCATCTTACTCTATAACCAGTCAAAGGCCGGTCCTCCTCCCCACAAAGTGGCCCTGCCTTTCTGGAGGCTGGGCCCTGGAGAGCTGGAGCTCCCCCTGCTGTCCTGGTCTCCTGGGACTTCAATGCAGCCAAAGAGGTCCCTGAGGAGAGGGGAGAGAAGGGGCTTGTGACACCTACCACCATGCTGAGGGACACAAAGGTGCTCTCAGGGATATATGCGACCTGGACAAACCTAGCTCACCTGAGTCATCCTTGTGGTGAGGCAAGTTTGAGAGGATGGTTCCTAAAAACCAAGACGAAGACCAAACACTGCCAAGTATGAGCCATATCTGACTGAGCAACTGTAAAAAACCACTTTCCATCTCATTGGGTGTGTGTGAGATACAGACACACAAAGACATGCACAAACCACACAGTGCAGAGAGTGATTACAAAGCAGACACTCATCTTCCCCACTGCACATTGCCTCTCCTCCCAGAAGATAAACACCTTGACTTCGGTAATAGCAACTCTTGGATCTTGAGATTGACTAACTATATTTACATTCCTTAACAGGAGAGTTTGCTTTTTGCCCATTTCTAATCTAGTTGATGGAATCATGGGATCATATTATTTGTTTATGTTCCCCAATACTGTGCTTTTAAGAGGGACCAAGAGTTGGGGTGTAGCTCAGTATTGGATCACTTGTCTAGCATGCATAAGGCCCTGAGTTCCATCTGAGCACAGAGAGAAAAAAAAGAGGGAAGGAGGAAGAGTTGGAAAGGGACAGCACATGGCTTTGACTCCATCAGAGTAGAACCCTTGGAGCCTACAGCTGCAAATGCTTCCTCTTCCCCTTTGTTAGATAATGCTGAGCTGCTGCACCATGATCAATGCCTCCAGTGCCATGTGCAGAAGAGTTCCCACTGCTCTGAGTCTTTTCCAACATAGGTGATGCAGTGTCCTCATTTTTGCAAAATTCTGCAGACCTGGCAGCGTGTAATTGTATCTCTTTGGGTTTCCCACATCTGTTCATTTGGACTGCTAAGGAGAGCAAAATAATGTGCTCAGTTTACTCAAATGCTGACAAGTACGCCCTCATTTCACCTTTGATAACAAAGCTGCAAAGAGGGGGCTGAGGAGGAAATAATTCAGTGTAAGCCCACAGTAATGCTTGCATGCTACTGGGAAACTAGTCAGATGGGGAAGTGTCACCCCCAGCTGCCTCCCCTACTTGTCAAGCACTCAGGGCAGGGAGCTGGCTCTGGAGCTCTCTCCTCCACGCCAGCAGGCCTGAGCCATGGGCTCTCATACCCTATGGGCTCACGATGTGCTCAGAGGAGGTCAGGCAGGCTCTTCTGACTCTAATTCAGTACTGGCTTCCAGATCAACACTCCCCAAAGCTCAAGTTTTCATTTTAGCTTTCAAACTGTGAAGGATGTGAATATGGAAGCCACACTGTATTTATAATGCTATTTCACTTGGCTTGATTTAGTATTTTTAGAGCTGATGTTAAAGGGATTTCAAAACACACAAAAGGTGAGCCACCCAGAGTAGTTCAGTTTTATTTTGTTTTGCTAAGAGATTGAACTCAAGGTTCCACTTATGTGAGGTAAGCACTCTACCACCCAGCAATACCCCCAGCTCAAGAGAACTTTTGATTCACACCATCTGCACTTATAGCACCAGGCTACAGCTTGAGAGGGACAATTCCTAGATGTTCTCCTCTCCTTCCTACTTCATCTACAGGAGAGCTCTCTACTATTTATCAGTCACTGTTCCCCAGTGGAACAAGCTAGAAACGAAAAGAATGTTCCTGTGTCCTTGCTTCCTTACTCTTTCCTGCCCAATTTGGGACTTGTAAAGTAGATTTCTCAAAGCTCATGCTTTTACCAAGAAGTTAAATCTAGAGCAAGAAAATGATCTCAAGTAAAGCGGTTGAGTTCAGTTCTTTGCTGACTAAAATTTCACATGGCTGAAGTGGACACTGGAATTTCTCCCTGCTGCACTTAGCGCTGAACAAAAGGTTTCACGTTTAGGATGTACTAAGCTCAGTTTTACTTCAGAGCACAATTTAACCCAGAGCTTTGTGACATCTGTGGCCTGAAATTATCATAATAATTACAATAAAAAACTGATACAGAATAGACGGAAACAAGTGCTAATGTTGAAGCACTGAACTGACAAATGATTCCTGGAAAATGGATGTTGGAGGAATGCAACCTGACCTGAGGCTCGTTTTAACATTTATCAGAACAGCTATCAGCACCCTCTCCATTTTGTAGTAAAATTCTCAAGTGGCAGGTACAAAAGAAAAACCCCAAGTGGTTAAAAGATTCCCCAAAACTCCTACAGAGCAACGAACACTAAAATCACTGTTAGTTCAAAACCTGCCTTTGTACCATGTCCTGAGAAATGACGGGACAAGGAGGGCCCAGAGAGAGTGGTAAGGAATCCCCTCCATTGAAAAGTTACTGGCTTCTCCTTTCTTAAAGCCTGTGACTCACTGCATCAGCTGACACATATGCACTGCCTGGAGGACATGCTTGGCACCTGGGACACTTGGAATAAAAGCCCAGACCATGGGTCCAGAAGGCAATCCTCCATGAAATAAGAAGAAAACTCAACATAGTAAATGAAACACTCAATTTCTATATAATTAAAAGTTTAAGGATATAGTAGGATGCACATATACTTACTCAAACACACATTCACACAAACACATAAACCTATCCTCCATCTATCTATCTGTCTATCCACCCATCCATCCATCCATCCATCCATCTGTCCCTGGCATCTGTGGGGGGCAGTTACAGGACACCTCCTCCCCACATAGATGCTCAAGTCCCTT